CTGGGATCCTTTCCTCCATCCTTTTCAGTGTCTTTCTGGCATGGGTTGTTTCTCTTTATCCTGATGGATGCCCTTTCTTCCGTGGTCCCAGTGTGCAGTAGGTTCTAATAACACTATTTTCTTCCCTTTTGAACCCTGGGCGTGGTCACAGTTTCCAGCTGTTACCAGGCCCTGGGTGTGGCAAGATCCCCTGTGCTCTCTTAGCCCTGCTCACACTTCTCTATGGAGATGCTCCATTTTTAAAGCCTCTTCCTTGGAACCATCCGGGTTGAGGTCTGTTTCCTGATGGACTCCTGAGTGACCCAGAGATCTTGGGACAAACAGAAACACTTCCGTATTAAATAGTCACTGATGATAACATGTACCTGGCTTTCAGAAATGTTCAAACATCATCAACATGTATGGTTTACAATAGAGAAATGATGGCATTCTCTCAGGCATGGTGGATAAAGGACCATGTATTATTAAGCCATGGACTCTGCTTCTGACCTGTCAAGCCCAGGAGCATGGATAACAGGCAGAGCACTGGGTGTAAAGTCAGGTGAGATGGGTTTGAGTTCAGGCTCTGGCAACCGCGGGTTGGGAAATCTTGAGGAGGCTGCCTTGCCACTCTGCTCCTCCGCCTCCACTTTGGCAATCCAGAGTCACCCTGACTGTTGTTACATCCCTGGTGCAGATGTTACTGTGAGGAAAAACGAGGCCATGTATGTGAAAGGGCTTCATGAACTGTCCAGCACTCAGATGTGCAGGCCAGGTGCAGCCCAGAGCAGGCAACCATTTCGGGGCCAAACATTGGACAGGAGGGACAGAGGAGGAAACACCTAACTTCAGTGCAGGGAGGTCCCAAGACCCAGAGAGGCAATGAGAAGGCGGCACAAGCTACCTTTTTCTCCCCATCCCAGCTTCCGCCTCCTCTTCCCTCACATGACTTGACCTTTCCTTACCCTGAGTGATAGTGCTGGGCAGAGAATTAAGGAGAACCTCTAAGTGAAGGCAAAGTCATGCACCAGAGGAAGTCCACGCTTTCTGGAGACCAGTAAGAGAGAAACAAAGACATTCCATTAGGAGGCAGGTCACACATGTCCTAGGTAAGAGGAAGAGCCTGGAGTCCTAGAGGCCCAGCTGCACTTCCAGCTGGGTCACTAACCCTCTAACTCATTCTCCTGGTCGAGTTACTTAACCTCCCTTTCTTGATCTGCAACCAGGGAAGAACACCCACCTCAAACGTTTGTTCGGAGGCTGGCATGAGACAATCCCCGTAAAGTATTCAGCCTGGTGCCTGACTATTGGTAAGTGCTCAGGAAAGACTGGCCCCTATTCTTCTTAGTATCCTATTCCTGGGAGTCAGAGGATCCCTTCTAACTGGGTGATCCTGGAATGATTCCCCCCGGAGGGGGCAATGAACTGGGCTTGGAAGCTAAATTCTCCGTTTGGCATTCACAGTTAGTCCGAGGCACCAGCTACACCAGCCGGTCAGTGCCCATAGCACCAGGGCGCAGCTCTGTGTCTGGTGCTCCAGGACTGAGGGGAGAAGGCAGGCTGCAGAACGCAGGCCTCCCGGCGGGCAGAGGGAGCCAACACAAGTTCTGGAGCCGGGGAAGGCCGGGATCAAAGCGCTCCGAGGCAGGCCGGGGCGCACCAAAGGGAGGCTAGCGACTTGCATCAGCACAGATTCCGTGATGCTCTGCAGACGTCTCGGGGCTGCTGGGCTTTACGGGAACCCACAAGAAAGGAAAGGGCTGGGGAGCAGGCAGGGCGGGGGCGGGTGAGGGCGCGAGGGTGCGCTCGCCTGCCCGCTCACTCCCGGCGGCGCCTGCCCGGGCCTGGAGGCGCCCGGGACGGCGGAGGCCACCGAGGAAGAACACGCTCCCTTTCCCCCTCCTTCTTTCCCCCCGAATTACTGGAAGTACTGTGTGGGAGAGACCTAGAAGCATCCGGATTTTCAAGCGCGGGGTGGGGGAGGCCCGGGCAGCCGCTGCTGCTCAAAGGAAAACTAAAAGTGCGTCTGTTCGCGCCGCTTCGACACGCGGCTGCTCCCGGGAGGGCCCTGGACGCCCAGACCGCGACTCCCTTTGCAGCCCCCCAAGAGCTCGCCAAGGCGGCCGGGGGCCGTGTGGCGCGGGATGGGACGGAGAGGCGAGGAAGAAAGTGTCACGATTTCTTCTCCTGCGCTCCACCACCCCCCCCCGTCCCCACCCCCAGTTTTCTGGGTTTTGCCGCTGCCGCTGGGGAAAGGGCTGAACGGTTTTGCGTCAAAGGACTGCATTTACACAGTCCTGCTGAGAGAGGAGCGTAAACACACCCAGGCAGGGCGGGATGGGACGGAGAGGCGAGGAAGAAAGTGTCACGATTTCTTCTCCTGCGCTCCACCACCCCCCCCGTCCCCACCCCCAGCTTTCTGGGTTTTGCCGCTGCCGCTGGGGAAAGGGCTGAACGGTTTTGCGTCAAAGGACTGCATTTACACAGTCCTGCTGAGAGAGGAGCGTAAACACACCCAGGCAGGCAGGACGCAGGATTTAAAAGTCAAAAACAAAAACGCCAAGCCCCCGCGCTGGGTGCTCGCATCCGTCTGCCCGACACTTCTCGCCCTGACCGGGGGAGTTGGGGACTCTGCCAGGCAGGCGGCGGCGGAGGTGCGAGGAGCCCGGCCAGCCTCGCCTCTTCGCGCGCGTCCTTGGGGATGGAGCTCAGGACAGAATGTGTTTTATAGTTGTAAACAATGACCCCGAGTATTGTTTGGGATTACCGTATCTTGGGGCCATTGGGGCGGCCAGATGCCGCCAGCCGTCCCGGAAACGCCAGCGCTTTATATAGAGCCCCGGGAAAGCTTTGAGTTCCCGGCTCTATTTTTCTTTCTTAGCAACACCCCCACTTTACAGATAAGGAAACTGAGGACCGAAACCGTGATGTGTTACAATGCATAAGGCTTCACACATCTTCCCGTTGTGTCCTCACAAGGACCCTGTGGGGGTACAGACGGTACACGTAAGAGTTGGGTAAACCGAGACTAAGGCAGAGCCTGGACCAGAACCCAATTTCCTTGACTCCTAGTACAGTGCTCCTCCGGATCATCTCTGCAGAAGGATTGAAGTTCCAGAGCTGACAAGGGCCTTAGAAGGTCATGTCTCAACCCCTTCGTCTGATAGGAAGAAACTGAAGCCCAGAGAGGTTAAGGGAGTCACCCAAAGTCTCACAGCTCGTAAACAGCACAGCCTGGCGTTCATACTCCAGGGCCTGTGCTCTTTACCCCGCACCCCGCCCAGCGAAGCGGGAGAACCTAGGAATCTGCACTACCTACTGCCTGAACTTCGCTCCAAAACAGCTGAAGACAACGATGGGGCACACCCTCTACCGGGCCTCCCTCTTCCCTGTTTTTTTTTTTCTTCCAAATTCGTAACAGTCAAGGTTGCTTATAATGCCCGATTACTCCTATTAGATGCGTCCTAATTGCCCAGCGTAGAGGGCGGCCGGAATGTCTTGACTGTTTAATTTCGTCTTCAAGGCTACTCCTAACAAATTAATTGCAGGGCCGAAAAAACGGGGCG